CTACTGTACTCACTCTTTTATAGTAGTATTTTGTAGGCACGCAGAGAATATTTGGCAGATAAATTAATGCATATGACGAAGTGAATGAACATGGGTAATGTTGGTGCATGAAGGCTGCAGAGTCATGGTAGGCAGTCTTTAATTTGAGTTTTTAACAAGTGGTGTGCAGATTTACAAACAAGACTATACCATTTGGAGGTTTATACAGATTTTGCCATGATTTTGCCAACAGTTCTTCCTGGGAAACAATATGGAGAATCACCAATTCTGGTCATAATAAATACATTTACAGATAAATACTCATGCAGCTATCAGAGATGCCCATAAGAGGGCCCGCATATGAAGCCCTTCAGCATTCAGAGAAGTAGGATGGAGCCGAGAGCAGCTGACCCAATTAGCACAGTATGCTGTACCCACTTTCTATGAATGTTAAGACAAAATAATTTCAAAAGTGCTTCTATATGGGAGCAATTTGAAGGTTTTTTGTTGTTGTTTGCTGCTTTTTTTTTTTAAAGAAGAAGTGATTGATATTTTCAAAAGCACAGTGAATTGCATCAATAAGGCTAAACTTAAATCAGTTTAAAATACTATATGTTCTTTCAGATTGCCACCAAAATGACATCAATTAAGTGTATATATCGATAATAGCATTATAAATATTTATAACATGGTGATGTTAAAATGAAAAAGTAGGATATAAAGTTATAGTAAAGGCACTATAATTATAAAACATAATAATAGTTTTTATAGTTGTACTTGATTAATTTAGACTATGGTTTTTATCTATCTTACTATATTATTTCTATTAAAGTGAAAATAAACATTTTAATAAAAATAGACATAATTATAAACAATACACTGACTCCCTCCCATTCCTCCCTCCCCCCCCCCCCGCATGACTATAACCTGGGAATATAGCTGTGGCATAGGTAAATCACCTTATTATAGTGTAATTTTTATATGAAATATTTTTATTATCAACTATTATAATTAGCAAGCTAAGTTGACAAATATATATCAGGAATCAGGAGATATGTTTTTATTCAGAGAAAGAGCTGTTTTGCTTACAACTGCAGAGTACAGAATTTAGCAATTAAGACATCAATGATAGTATTACTTGAATCCCTATTCTGTTTTTCTACCCCCATGAGTTGAAAACACTTATTCATAAAGATGTAAATACCCCTCCTACGTTCATTGCAGTATGTTTTGCAATAAGAAAGTCAGAGAAAGAATTATTAGATAAAGAAGAAGTGGTACATACATACAATGGAATACTACTCAACCATTTCTGACAACATGGATGGATCTTGAAAGTATCATGTTAAGGGAAGTAAGTCAGATGGAAAAGACAAAAGCCATATGATTTCACCTATATGTGAGATATAAAACAGAAAGCCACGGGAAACAAACAAACTCATAGACACAGATAACAGTATAATGGTTACTAGAGGGGAAGAAGGTGGGGAGAAGATGAAGAAGGTAAAAGGTGTCATATTCATGGTGATACAAGGAGACTAGACTTTGGGTGGGGGGCACACCCTAGGGGAAAAAAAATATATATATATATAATTAGACACCTAAAACATGTAATATTACTAACCAATGGTACCCCAATAATTAAAACATATTTTATTTTTAAAGAAATAGTCTGTATTCATATATCAGAAATAGTTAAAGTGAAGTAAAACTTTACATTTTCTATTTAGTATTTCTAAATGGTTATGTTTTTCACAAGACAAGGTATAGATATGGAAAATGGTCTCACCATCTAAATAATGATATATCACAGCAAGTATCCCATTTTATTCTTAGAACTAAACAGTGAACATAATCATTGAGTTATACATCACTCTCTAAACTGCAAATTTCTCCATGTTAGAAAATACTTTTCTATTTGGTATGCGCGTTGTAAAGCACAATGCCTAACCCATTACAAGTTTCTAAATATTTATTAAAGGAATGCATATTCTCAAAGGGAAATAGTGTGTATCTTTCAGCATACATGCTACTTTCTGCTCGAAATGAGGTTTAAGGATCCATAGCTTTGATCTGGTGTTGTCTCTCCCAATGTCTTTGTGATTACAACTTTATGTTTAAAAGGAGAATCCCTTTCTGGATTACTGGCAGCAATTATGAGAAGCTTAAACATGCTATAAAGGCAAAGTTTCTGTCAGGAATCATTTCCTTTATAGGAAATGCAACCCTTGAGACAGGCTGGGGGCACAAATCCTGCAGAGGGGAGTTTGAGAACTATTTCCCCAGGATTGTTCTCTCCAGCCAAGCTTCCTGGACCAGCCACTGGAGCTGAATGCTTGGTGTGGTTTTCCTCAAAGGGATGCTCTTTCATTTTGTAGACTCATTAGGCCACGGATACCTGATTATGCTATTAGCATAATTGTTCCACACAACTGAGTTTCAAAACGTCTCAACTGAATCAATCTTTATGGTCAGTACTTTTTTTTTCTTCTTTTTACTCAAATAGGCATAGTTAGTGAGACACTACCAACAAAAATTTCACATGGATAAATAACATAATCTTTTTAATTGGATTTTAAGAAATACTAATCTTACCTTTAATGAAGCAAGGGAACCTTTAAACAATAAAGCTTACATAGTAGAGCCAAAGCAACAGCTCAGTTCTAAGTGGCACAGTTTTGAGATCTATATAAAAATGTCGAGGTATTAATAGAATGATAATAGTACTCGGGAGAAATTACATTCTTGCCCTAATCCCTGCAATGTTGGCAAACCTTGTAAGTTCCTGAAATACAAAGTGAAGGTCCGAAGTATTTAAGATGAAAAAAAATCCAACACAGGGAGACAAAACTATTAACCCAAATAGATGTTTAAACTTGTTAATTCAACTAAAAAGTTTCCTGAGAAATAATTCACAATTTACCTTTCTTCAGTGATAGGATATCTAATTAAAAAGATACTATCAACTTCATAAATCTTCAGATATGAGTTATTAGAAGGCTTTAAAGTACTAATACTGTTAAAGGCATAAGTACACCTCCCTTGATATGTATGTTAGTACATGTTTATGTACATACATACGTATTTATTTATTTATTTGGCTATTTTGAGGAATAAAGGCTACATTATCAATCTCCCTAGAATTTGGACTAATGGTTTTACATTTTTTTTCATCAAGCTATTCCCATTTTTCTAAATAATTATAAATATTAAGGAATGTGGATTATGCAATTATTTGGATTTAGTATTAAATAGAAAAATTCAAACTGATCTTACTTTTTAAATTCAAGTATAAATATATAATGACTGCTTTATAATTCTGTCAAATAACAATATTTTGAAACACTTACTGGTAGTAATCCCATTGCCTTTCTTTGTTATTTAATCATAATTAAACTTTTTTTTAAACTAAATAATAATTTTAATAATGAAATTTACAAATATTTTCCAGACCAGGTTTAATTTTTTTTGGTTTAATTTTTTGACATGCTATCAGAGTGAGAGTAATTTGCCTACCTGATGTTAGAAAATTCTTGCAGACATAATTATTTTGCATAATAGATATGCAATATTTCCTGTAAATCAAACCATATATCAAGTGCCCTAGGTTATGTTTCTAATGATTACTTGTACCAATAGTATCATCCACTTTTATATCAATTTATAATTTACAAAGTATTTTTATGTGTTGCCATCATTTAAATAACAAAAATACTATCTTAAAGGTAAGACAATGAGATTGAGAGGGAGAGATGTTAAGTCTTGACCAAGATCACTTGGTTGGAAACCAGAGAGCCAGGAGCAGATCCAAGGCTTCCAGCCCTCATTCAGGGCCATATTTTTATACACTGACTGACTCTCTGCCAATATAAAGAACACCACACCTATCTTTCTAATTGTCTGAATCTGAATTTCAGTGAGTCTTTTTTATTATCTTTAGTTGAAACATGTGAAAGTTAACCCATAAATGCCCAGAACTCATGAGATGCCCACACATTTATCTTTACAAAGCCAAGAGCAAACTGAGGAGGATGCAACTAGCTCACAATCGCTTTCCATCACTGACCAAGTGCAAACCTGTGACCAGCCTCATCACTGAGCAGAGGAAATTGAAGTTATGCAAAAACTCTAATCAGTAAATACGGCTAAAGTTTAATAGGGAAAGAGAAGTAGATCAAAGAATACTTTAAGTTAAAGAAAAACCTTTGACTTTTTTTTTTTTTTTTTTAGAACTAAACCACATATTTCATCTTTAGAGATTATCAAGACAAAAATATTTTGTTTCTTTTGCTTTTAGGTTATTACAAAACCAACTAATCAAATTCTGCCCCTGAACTATCTATTTACTGATAAATTTTGTTGATTTACTCTTTCAGGTATCCTATCTGATATCAAATACAAAATTATTTTTACTTAAATTACTTCATCACAGAAAAGAGGGGAGGATTATACAGATCACAATTTTCAAAAAGTAACCTACAACTTTTGCAGAAAAGCCAATGTGAAATTACTTCAAGTATAAAAAAGCTGTGTTTTAAAGCAAGTTATTATAGTAGAGAAAATTGTATTTTGTTTTACAAAAATGAAAATTAATGGGATATGTACTACCTCATAACATTCTGAAAACAGTGCCACCCAAGTTCAATGTAAAGCAATGGTGTATTCACTCAGGAAAATATTTTCCAGCCTTATTATTTTTTCATACGATTTCACAAACAACTATTGAACACAACAACCATTCATTCAGAATGTATTTTCAGTGGGAGAAATAATGTGTTTACACTCAATTTTTTATGTTGAATTTTAAACTAACCATTTTCTTTGTTGAGATAATCTCCCACACAAAAGAAAGAATACTATGTAGTAATTACCTCAAATGGTTTTCTTTCTTTCTTCTTATGTAGTTCCTTCCCATCAGAGTGATGGACTTGGTTAAGTCCAACCAAATATTTTATCTTATTTCTACTCAAAAACACTTTTTAAATCAAGATTAAGGCCAAAGGGGAAAAAAAGGCACTTACTTTGCTTTAGCTTCTGCATCCTCATATGCTTTATTAGAAACATCTTCCAATCCTCCAATCAAATGCTTGAAAGAGCTGTTAGAGGCAAAACATAGTGAAAAGGATAAATCCTCTATGAAGCTGTAACAATGACAACCTAGTCAATGATATATCGAAACACTCTAAAGGATCTAATAAAAATTAAAACACCAACTTAGAGAAATTATTAATACGCATATCAGATAATGATATATACTCGTGAGAGCAGGGACCTCTTCAGTCAGGTTCATTTCTGTAGTTCCCACCACTGAGAACCAGAGCTGACAAAAACCAATATTCAAAGAATTGGGTGAAATCAAGTCAATGGCACACTGATACATGTCACAAAGTTAATAAGTCAATTACAATGATGAAATAACAAGACCTAATAGTTATGGAGTGCCTAGTGTATTCCAGGCACTATTCTTTTAATTCTCATGAACATATATTAATTCCAATTCTGAAACAAACTAAAAGATAAGAATTATTAACTCTATGTAAGATAGTAGAATAATCTTCAAAGGCAAAATAAGAACAGGAGGGAAAATCCACTCATTCTGGAGAAGTGAAGAACAGACTTTAGCATAAACTGGTAAGAGTAATGTATCTGCTTAAAACATCTATTCAATGTTCTACAATGTACCTAGAGCTATGCTCAGATCTACTTCATATAGTGAAATCTCTTATACATCTATAAAATATTACAGAGTTTAAACCAATTAATATACATAAAGGAATTGCTCTTGAAAATTACTGAAAGTAAACACACAGAGTAACTCATGCACACCACATTTTGGCAACCATTGAATTATAACGAATAAAGAAACAAAAGGCAAGTCTGTGTTTACAGAATCATCAGAGCTCTTTCTTACATGGTGCTTAAATGGCTGGTTTGTTCTATACTCTTTGCAGGTAGTAACAAATACTGTAATAGTTACGTATATCCTATGATTTAGTATCATCCCCATTTTCTAGATGGGGATACTAAGGAATGAGAAGTTAAGAAACTGACCTAAAGTCATGCAGCCAAAAGACTGTTAGGGAAGGGGCAGCCATTCTTTTATACTCATACCTTTTATACCACAACTCCTACCCAACCCCTGACTGTCTTGAAGATAACTATTACATCTCTAACAGTATTTGAGGTTTTAAAGTGCTGAAAGAAATTGCATTTTGATTTAAATCTCTATTATCTTAATGCATGCAATTGGCTTTGTATGTTGTGAGTATTAAAACAACAACACATGGATACTCGGGTTCTGAAACATAGTAGGATATTTGCTGATTTCAATTTAAATATTGTTTAGTCCCTTTCACATAACATTTTTTGGAAAAAAAAAAACAAAAACAAAAAACTATAAAGAGGAGCCTGACACTCTACTTAGGACTGATTTGTAGTTGGGGGAGTTCAGGCCCTTAAGTAATGATCTCATCTGGGGGACAGGGTAACTAATGCTGGCTAAATACACTATGTTTTTTTTTTTTTACTTCTTTATTTATTGATTTTTAGAGAGTCGGGGAGAGAGAGTGGAAGAGAGAGAGAGAGATCCATCCATTGTTTTATCTAACCACGCATTCAGCGGTTGGTTCTTATATGTGCTCTGACCAGAGAATCAAACCTGCCACATTGCCTATCAGGATGATAATCTAACCAACCAACTGAGCTACCTGGCCAGGGCTGCACTAATTATTTCTCATACAAGAAGAAAATGACCAGAATCAATAATCTTTACTTAGAAAGAAATCCTGGCCAAATAACATTTTTCAAAACAGGCAACAAATGTCTCCTGCATTCTAAGTCTCCTTCATAATGCATCAAGCATCATACTTAATTAAGAGATTTAAGAAAATGTAGGTTTTCCAAGCTATATTAAGAAGTTCCAAATGCCTGTCTCTGTGTGTCCTGCACTGGTCACTGAATAATTTATCTTGCTAAACATAACTATGACATTACATAACTCACCCCTCCTGGTGCAAGTGGGAACTGGTAATTAGTGGCTGGGTTTTCCCTCTCACTAATATTCTGTTGGAACACCTGCTATCCGTGTGGCCTCATCAAACACATTTAGAAACTTATTACCTGTAAGTATCAGATGCCTTTTTAAATATTTACTCTAGTCCTATGATATTTCTTGAATACTAAAGGAGAAGATTTGTGGATGTTTTATTTGGACAGGGATTATGATTAAGTGTTTTGAGAACTTTAACTGGATGAGCAGAAACCCTAAAAAAGTGATGTATCAGTTACTATTACAAATATAAAAGACTATAGGAAAATCATGAAATTACTTTTTAAACTAACAATTCATGAATGAGTTATAATTTAGTACCGTAAAATAAAATAGCCAGTTTTACATAAACTCTAGGCATAATTTCAGAATAAATGAAGAAGACGTTAGTGAGCAAAATACTGTAATAGTGTGTTTAAGAAATCCTTCTTGCACGCACACTAAGTATGAGGTGCTTTCCTGTTACTTTTCTCTGGGTGTGAAATCCAATTTTAGCAAGTCTTGACAGAATTTTTTGAGGCGGTAGATGAGTACACAGAGGTATAAGAGGTATAAGAGGAAATGGGAAATACCAACATACACATCTTTATGTTTAATGTTGGTAATTTAAATGTACTTGCAAAGGAGGATAAAAAAGAAAGGATGGAGGAAGGAGAGAGAAAGAAAAGAGGGGAGAAGGGATGGATGAGAAGGAGGGAAAAAAAGTCAGGAGAACTGATGATTCTTTCACATCAAGAATGTTATCTGTCAATTAAAAAAAAAAATTAGCCCTGGCCCGTGTGGCTCAGGTGGTTGAGCATCACCCCTGCACTGAGAGGTTGCCAGTTCAATTCCTGGTCAGGGCACATGCCCAGGGTGTGGGCTTGATTCCCTGTAGGGAGCTTGCAGGAGGCAACCAATGGATGTTTGTCTCTCCCCCTCTCCTTCCCTCTATAAAATCAATAAAAAACATTTTTTAAAAAAGAAATAACATTCAAAATGCTGTGTTTCTCATTCTAGGAAATTTGCCTGTTTTAGAGCATGAGAGTGACAGTAACTCAGTGGGTAGTAATTTCATTTACTGATGTTTTCATTATTAAGCCAAAACATTCTTCTGAAGAGAGCCGATTACTTAGTGATACGACTAAAAGTGTATAATTTTCTTCTTCAGTTGTGATATGATGAGACTTCATCTAGAGGAAAACAGGGTATTATTTATGAAATAGGCAGTCCAAATTTCAGGGACCAGTATTATCATGCTGCTAAAAAAATATAACAGCATTGATATTCCACTTTATAGTTTATAAATCACTTTTTATATTCATATATTATGTATGTATTCAATAACTTATATTAGTCAATTTAGTCCTCATGACTTCCTATCCTCTATTCCATGATACTATTTAGGAAGCTTGTAAGAAAATGTTTAAAATGCAATTTTTTAAAATTCAAAATAAGGTGGAAGAAAAATCTCAACACTTATTTTTTTTCTTGATTACTTCCTTAAATAATATTTTTTAAAAATATTTTTTTATTGATTTCAGAGAAAAGGACAGGGAGAGGTTAGGTAGAAACATCAATGATGAGAGAGAATCATTGATCATCCACCTCCTGCACGCCCCCTGCTGGGGTTGAAATCTGCAACCCAGGCATGTGCCCTTGACTGGAATTGAATCCCGGACCCTTCAATCTGCAGGCCGCTGTCTTATCCACTGAGCCAAACTTGCTAGGGTGGTAATCTATTCTTAACAGTTAAAATTGTAAGTCAAAATGAGTTAAAAGTAAAATCTTAAACCAGAAAATTAATGCAAATACTTCAATGGTGCTAAGCAAAATATTTATCAAGCATGGCCTGAACTTCTGAGAAAACCCTCTTATAATTTGAAAGGTGTATAAGATTACAGCTCATTAGAATTTCCTAACCTGAATCTTGGTTAAGTCCCTTAAAATGTATTTACTAAAAGGAATGAGAAAGTGTCCAAAATTAGTTGGGGTACTTGTTACTTAGCCAAGTTCAAGATTTTAGAGGCATCCTTCATTATTTTGGTACTTTGAATCCAGAAAAATCTGTTCATCCATTTGGTGGATTCAGGTAGTAGTGTTTGTGTTTATTTTTTGTTTGTTTGACTATTTATTTATAATTAGCAAAGTTATAATTATTTATAGATCATATTATCATAAACCAAATGAATAGTTTCTTCAGAGGGAATATGAACCCCAAATACAGTAAAACCAAACATCCAAGTTCTGTCATCCATCCACCCACCCACCATATATATTTATGCAATGTCTACTCTCTCCAAGGAATGGCTCAAACTACAGGGGATTATACAAAGAGAGAAAGGCACACCCTTAAGAAATGTATAGCTAAAAAAAGGGATCATAATACAAGGCAGGAGGTGAACAGCAGGAGGAAGCCTCTAACAAAAGTTGTCATCAAGTCAAATTATAGGACAGTGATTTTAGAGAAAGGAATAACACTTTTATGAGTGAATGGTTTTCTTATCAGTGTTTTCTTTATTCTTGCACGTATGTTTATATTTGCAAGAGAATATTACACACACTGACCAAAGTGATAGACATTTGGTTATCTCTGTCCTTCCTTTGTAACAACAATCCTATATTTATCATGGGGGCTATTCATTAGGGAAAATCAATTACAAATACCACACATTTAATTTAAACCATTTTCAAATTATAATTAGACATTTTAAAGGAATTGACATTTTAAAATAATGATCCAAATTGGCCTAGTGACCAAGAAATCAAAAGTTAAGAATTGATTTCAGAAATGCTTTCTATTTATATGCTGTGATTTTTGAGGAAAAATCCATGTAAATGAACAAGTTTTTATGTATAATATGTTTAGATAGTCTTCTCTAAAGCAGAGCCTTGTTGAGTTGATAAGGCTTCTTATGTTAGTCAATGACATGGTCCATGATCTATTTTTGAATTTTCATTTGTGATTTTTTTCTGATACTAAAGGTAATATGTTGAAATTTTGGGAGATGTTAAAAAAAACCCAAAGAATAAAAAGATTATTTTAATGTTATAGCCCAGAGCTAAACA